CCTCCCCGCGCTCCCCCCCCGGTGCCCCTGTCTCCCCCCCGCCGCTGGCGTTGGTCAGGGTCACCCCCTCGCCCTTCTTCTGCTTCTCTTTCCGCATTATCGTGTGCGTCAGGTCCGGGTTCCACTCCTGGAAGCACAAACCACGTGGCCCCTGAGCACGGGCCCACGGGCCACGCAGGCAGGCCCCGAGCCCCCGCACTGCCCCACGGCCACGGGGCAGAGCCTCACCTCGAACTGGGGCCAGTTCATGGGCATCCCTGGGCCGCTGGTGCTGCGGAACCACCGGAGATCGTCCTGCGCGTCGGCGAGGCGCACGGTCTGCTCCAGCTCCCGGTACACGCTGGCGTAGCTGCGGAGAGGGGCGGGATGGGGTGCTGGGAGCAGGGATGGACCCTGCGGGAGCAGGGGGCCCTTGGCCAGGGATAGGGCGGTGACAAGAGGCCACCATGGGGCGGTGGCAAGAGGCCAAGCTTGTGTTTTATCCTAGGAGCCATTGGAGGGCACCAGGCCCTGGGAGCATGGGGATCTCCAGGGGTTGGTTTGCTGGTGGCTGCGGGCCCTTCAGCTGGTCCTGGCTGTGCTCCTTCATGCTCCTGAGCACGGCAGCACCGTGTCACCACGCCACGGGCACCTACCTGCTGCTCTCTGCCAGGTTCAGGTGCCTCTTGATGTCCAGCAGCACCTCCTTGAGGAAGTTGAGCCTCTTCTCCTCAAACTGCTGGCACTGCTCGAAGACCTGCTCCATGCTCTCGATGTACTGCGGGGTGCACTTGTTCAGCTCATCCAGAACCTTCTCGTACTTCTCCTGAGCCTGCAAACGCAACGGGGTGTCTCAGCTGCAGCTCGAGCTGCTCGGAGCCCCTGTCCCTGAGCTGCGTCCGTGCTGCGACTCCCCGCTGCGCCTGGGCGCTGACTCGCACCTTCTGCACGTCCTGCTTGCACTTCTCCACCTTGTCCTGGAGTTTCTTCTGCTGCTCGGGGGTGTTGGACTGCTCTGCCTTGCTGTTGGCCTCCCGGGTCACGGCCAGCTTCTCCTCCTTGCAGGCCAGGTGGTAGGCCTTCTTGGCCGTCTCCAGCTGGTGAAGGAGGGCAGAGCGTGGGCGTCGGAGCAGAGGGCACAGCCGCACACCCCGTCCCTGCGCCCTCCCTCCCCAGGGCACCCCATGGCTTGGACCTTCCCAGAGCCTGGGGCAAGGAGGTGGCCTCTGCTTGGGTATGGCTGTGCTCTGCATCCCCTCCTCACCTCCTTGAGCTTCTTGGCCCAGGGTTTCTGCGCTTTCCGGAAGCCGTCCTCTGCCTCCTTGGCCTCCTTGAAGCCTCCCATGATCTGCTTGTGGTAGGCGTCCTTCTGCCAGTTCTTGACCTTCTCGAAGTCGTCATTCAGCAGGCTGTTCTTCACCTCCTGGTGCAGCTCGCTCACCTTGTCCGCCTCCGTCATGATGGCCACCCACGCCTTCTCCATGCTGCCGTACTGGGGGCCTGCAAGGACGGAGGGGATGAGCCCGACCCAAGCCGTGGGCTCTGTGGTGCCCTCCCCTGGGGACATCAAGACAGGGATTGGGACCCAGGTGACCCCTGGCACGCAGAGGGGCCGCGGTACCTTTCTCGATGAGCTGCCTCCACCTCTTGGACCAGTCGGTGAGCTGCTGCGCGTAGGACTTCTCGATCTTGGCCCTCTCGTGCACGCAGTTCATGAGGTCATTGCAGAGCCGGTGCCCGTCGTCGATGCGCTTCACCGTGCGCTTGTAGTTGCCCACCTGGGACGGGGACAGACAAGCGTGGCCGGGGTGTCGGCGACGGAGATTCGGGTGGGGGATCGGGACAGGATGGAGGAGCTGCTGCTCCAGGTTGGCCCAGCTCCTGCACCCCCTCCGGCGCCCGGCGCGCGCGGGGCGGCCGCGCTCACCTCCCTGAAGCTGTCGGTCGTCTCCTCCGCGGCCGCCGCCGGCTCCTCGTAGGAACCCGACATGGCT